GCAATATGTCAATCAATGGAAGGGAAACTGATGTGATACAGCAATTTGTATACGGGGTAAAAGCGGGAGTTCATAATCCACGTGAATCAACTGTGCAATATGATGTATTAAGAACTATGTAATGTTATGAACGACCAATAAAAAAAATTTTTTTAAAAAAAATAAAAATAAATAAATAAATAAAGTGCTTCCTTAACATATCCAAAACACCAACATCACTACTCTTTCAGTTTGGGGCCATTATTAAGTAAAATAAGAGTTACTTGAACACAAACCCCAAAATACCATTCAAAAACCTAGATTGCTACTAAGTGACGAGTGGATGAGTAGCATATATGGCATGGATATGCTGGACAAAGGAATGATTTGCATCCTGAGCAGAATGGAACAGGATGGTACAAGTTATCATCACATTACTCAGAGTGACAGTTCATTAAAACTTATGAATTATTTATAAAATTTCCCATTTAATATTTTCAGATCACAAATGACCTCAGATAACAAAACAGGGACAGCAAAACCATTAAGGGGGAAGGGGCTACTGTAGTAAACAATTAGAAATAAATCCTTACATCACACAACATAGTAAAATTTATAAAATCAACGATGAAGAAGAAATCTTAGAAGCAGAGAAAAGACAAGATACCCCCAGAGAATTGTAGTGTGGCAGCAGACACTAGAGGGAAATGAAGGAAGGTCTTTAAAATCTAAGAGCAGCCACCCTCACTTCTGGTTAGTTTGCCTATTCCTGTCCCTGTAGAATCTACCATGGGAAGCTTAGCTTCCTCCTTCTCCCATAATTGACAGGGGTCATTTCTCACAGCCAAACTCCCCCTCAAGCCTATTCATCTCAATGATCCACCCACTTTTATCTGAGAAATCTAAGCATCATCCCATGGACAGGACATCCCCCATCTTGTCATTCTGTCTTTTAAATTCTCTCCAGCCTGCCCCTTCTTTCCCAATCCAAGTGGACAGTGTTGGCTAAGGCTCATGGCAGTAGTCTCCTGGCTAGTCTTGCTGCTGGTTGCCACCACACAACCAGAGTGACTCTTTGGGACCACTATCTAACAGGGACTACCTGTACTGCTTCCCTGCTCAAAGCCCATCCCTGGCTCCCGGAGCCATCAGGACAGAGCCCAGCTCACCCTCCAGGTATTGATAGACTCCTCCACTTTGAACTGCTCAATCAAGGACTTAATTTACTTTGGGAGGAAATGGACATATTGATAGACTCCTCCACTTTGAACTGCTTACACAACTTGCCTGGACTATGTATCACCTGTATGCATTGTG